GGGGGACCACAGGGGTCCTGGCAGCCCCGCACCCCCCCCCTTCCGTGGGGGTCACGCTGCGGGGAGGAGACCTGCCTCGAAGTGACATGGGGGGGCCGGGGACGTGTGGGACGCCCAGGGGGGGCACACGGGGCCGGGAGGGGGTGCTGGGAGGGAGGGGGAGGTGTGTAGTCCCAAATCCCCCCCATGGCCCTGCTGCCCCCACATTTGGTCCAGAGGAAGGCGAGGGGTGCAGGGACATGCATGGGGACAGGGTGTCCCCGGCCCCCCTGGGCAGGGCAGTGCCGAGGTGGCCCCCCAGCCCCCATCCCACCCTCCCGGGGCTCTGCCCCTGCCCCCCCGGGCGTTATATAGAGCTCTAATTCCACGCACGCACACACGAGATCCGAGGGGAACCAGGGGGACCCCAAAAAAGGCGAAAAACCCCACAGCAACCGGTGCCAGAAGAAAGCAAAACCCAACCGGGGCAGGGAGGGGGCGGCCGGGGGGGGCCCTGGCATGGCCCAGGGGGGCCGGGGGGGCACAGGGGGACCCCCCCTCACTTCTTGTTCTTGAGCTGATTGGCGAGCCAGTCGAGGCCCTCGTAGAGCCCATCCCCGCTGGTGGCACAGGTGGCCTGGATGTACCAGTTACGGTGGCGCAGGGAGTGCAGCCCCAGCTTGTCCGTGATCTCTGCTGCGTTCATGGCATTGGGCAGGTCCTGGAGCAGACAAGGGAGGTCACACAGGGGCCTGACGCTGCAGGAATGGATACGACCCCTCCACGGGGGTTGGCGCCAGCCCTGATGCCATGGGGGTGGGCACAACTCTGCCACAGGGGACCATCATGAGCCCTGATGCTACAGGAAGGAGCAGGAATCTGCCATGGGGATGTGAGGCACCAGCCCTGACACCACAGGGATGGCCAGAGGGCGAGTTAAAGACCAGCCCTGGTGCCATGGGGATGGTCCTGGGGCCTTCCACCATCCCTCATGCCACAGGAATGGAGCTGGTTCTGTCACACAGCCTCTTTGACACCAGCCTTGATGCCAGAGGAAGTCCTACAGCGATAGCTGCCCTGCCACCCTGGGGATGTCTCAGTCCCACCACGGGGCCCTCCCCGCCCCCAGACCCACCTGCTTGTTGGCGAAGACGAGGAGGACGGCGTCCCGCAGCTCATCCTCCGCCAGCATCCGCATCAGCTCCTCCCGCGCCTCATTCACCCGCTCCCGGTCATTGCTGTCCACCACGAAGATCAGCCCTGGGGAGAGGAGCGGACACTGAAGGGCTCTCTGTGGCCACCCTGCTCCCCAAGTCCCCCCACGGTGTCCCCTGAGACACCTACCCTGGGTGTTTTGGAAGTAATGCCTCCAGAGGGGCCGGATCTTGTCCTGCCCACCCACATCCCACACGGTGAAGCTGATGTTCTTGTACTCCACTGTCTCAACGTTGAAGCCTGCGGGGAGCGACAGCGGAGGGAAACTGAGGCACGGGGAGCCACCAGCCCCTTCAAAGGAGCCCTGATGGGGAGCGGTCTCTGCTCAGTGCCCCCCCAACCCCACCCACCGATGGTGGGGATGGTGGTGACGATCTCCCCCAGTTTGAGCTTGTAGAGGATGGTGGTCTTCCCAGCAGCGTCCAGCCCCACCATCAGGATCCGCATCTCCTTCTTCCCAATCAGGCTCTTCAGCAGGTTCCCGAAGATGTTGCCCATGGTGACGGCGGCGCTGGCTCCGAGGCCGGATCCTGCGGGGGCATGGGGCAGGCTGGGGGAGGCCCTGAAATCTGCAGGGGTGGGGCTGAGGGGTCCCCCGTGTTTGGGGGGGGCTGCAGGGATCAGGGATCTTCATGTCCCGGGGGGAATGCAGGGCTTGGGGGAGCCCAGGCAAGGGGTTGGGGAGGGGGCCGCGCACCGCATGGGGGTGTCTCTGTGTACAGCTCGATATTGGGGGCTGCAAAGATGGGGATCCTGCAAAAGGACAGCCCAGGATGCTGCGCTGGGGGAAACTGAGGCAGGGCTGTCTCCCTCCTGGAGGGGAGCAGAGCTCTCCCGGACCCGACCCCTCCTCTGCACCCCCAGCCTCCACACGATGCCCCCATCACCGCAGCCTCGCCGGAGGGGGAGGCCCCCATCGCCTCCCCCGCACCACAGCGCGCCCCTTCCCCCCCGAGCGTCTGCAGCCCCCGCGCCCCCCGAATTCGCCGTTTCCCCTCTTTACCACCCCCCCATCGCAGCGCGCCCCCAAACCACCGCCTCTCCCCCCCGCACTGCGCCGCCCCCCCCCTGCGCATTGCCCCCCCCCCCCCCCCCACCGCCCCGGCTC